CCAGAGTCTCTTTTTTTTTTTTTTTTTTTTTTACATTTAAAAAAGTTTACTATTTATTTTGGGGAGGCATTGCCTAAGTGCCTGAGTATGGAGGTCAGAGGACAACTTGCAGAAATCAGTTCTCTCCTACCCTCAGGTAGGCCCTAGGCTTGGCTGCAAGAGCCTTTCTGTACCAGCTGAGCCATCCCTGCTCCCCTGCATCTACTTGAGACAGGGTCTTGTTACATTCCCCAGATTGGTATCAAATTCACAGCAATCCCCCTGCCTCAGTCTCTAAAGGGTTAGACTTGCCAAGCACCAACTATTGCTTATTTTCTGGGGGGCAAGCTGTTCCTTGCTCTGGGCTTTCCCTGTTCTCCTCAGGGCTGTGTCCTTGTAGCTCAGAGCTGCCCTCCATCTACTCACTGGCCACATAAGGGCTGGGCAGGATAGTCCCAGCTACTTCAAGAGCAGTGCATTGTTTTCTTGTCCCCGGTCTGTCTGGTGGTAGTGTTGGCAGCCAGCTCTACACTGTGAAGTCACACTTAGCTTGTTGTCAAATTAAACCTTTGAAATCTCCACAGCTGTCAAATTATTTCTTCCCCACCCCTGCCTCCTGTCTGGGGAGCCCGCCCTACCTGCCTTCAGTGTTTGGGCAACCACTTTTTAGAGTCATGTGAACTGATGACCATGTAATCTCAGCCTCAAGGGACTTTTTTCTTTTTTTTTCCCCTGAGATGGGGGTCTCTTTGAATTCATAATCCTCCTGCCTCCATTACTCAAGTGCTGAAATTATAGGTGTATACCACTATGCCTGGTTTATAAGTCTCAGGGGATGGAACCCTGGGCTTCACACATGCTAGGAAAGCACTCTACCAAGTAAGCCACATTCTCAACCTCCTTTCGTTTTTCTGACAGGGTCTCTCTTTATATCCCAGGAAGGCCTTCAATTCTTAAATCCTTTTGTCCCCATCTCAAGAATTCGGGGATGACAAGTGTATACCACCAAGGCAGCTCTCTCTGCACCCCCCGCCTCGCTGAGACAGAGTTTCTCTGTGTAACATCCCTGGCTGTCCTGGAACTCACTCTGAGGACCAGACTGGCCTCGAATTTACAGAGATCCTCCTTCCTCTACCTCCTGAGTGCTGGGATCTAAGGTTTGCACCACCACTGCCTGGACAGCCAGGGCTGTTACACAGAGAAACCCTGTCTCGAAGGAAAAAAAAAAAAATGGGGCTGGAGAGATGGCTTAGCGGTTGACAGTACAGACTGTTCTTCCAGAGGACCAGGTTCAATTCCCAGCAACCACCCACATGGTAGCTCAAAACTTAAAAAAAAAAAAACTGCCGACAAAGAACAGCACCACCACCGCCCGGCTTTCTTTTTGGAGGCAGGTTTTCATTCCTATTTTTCTTTTCTTTTTTTTTTTTTAAGGATTTTATTTATCTATTATGTATACAACATTCTGCTTCCATATATATCTGCACACCAGAAGAGGGCACCAGATCTCATTACAGATGGTTGTGAGCCACCATGTGGTTGCTGGGAATTGAACTCAGGACCTCTGGAAGAGCAGCCGGTGCTCTTAACCTCTGAGCCATCTCTCCAGCCCCTCATTCCTATCTCTTTACCGGGCTAATTCCCTGTCTGACACCTGCAGGTTCCCTCACTTGTGTATCTGCATGCAAGTACCCACTGCTGTATGTGTCTGCACACACGTTTCCTTCAGGCATTGATTATTGAGGTGCTTGGACATAAAGTCATCCTCTAGTACAGAGGACATCATGGCTGTCATGTTATCATGACATCATGTCTCAGGCTTTACTGAGTGATGTGCTCTGTCCAGGGGGCAAATTCCAAATATTTTATAAAACTCAGCTTTTAGATCATCTCCTACAGAGTCTACCTCCCCCAAGTGAAAAAGATCTGTTAGGCAGAGGACATAAAACAGGCAGGCAAAGCAGGAAAGCCAGAAGGAATCCTAGCACTGTGCGAGGACGGAGGCAGGAGGGTTACTATGAGTTCAAAGCCAGCCTGGACTATAGAGCAAAACCTTTCGATAGATAGATAGATAGATAGATAGATAGATAGATAGATAGATATGCTGGATTGTGACTCAGTTGGGAGTGTTCCCCTAGTACAAAGTTCTGATTCCATCTCTAGCATTGAATAAACTGGGTATGGCGGCACATTCCTGTCATAGAACACTTGGGAGGTAGAGGCAGAAGGATCAGAAGTTCAAGGTCATCTTTGGCTACACAGGGAGTTCAAAGGCAGCCTAAGTGAAATGAGACCCTGTCTCAAAATAAATATATAAATAAGAAAGAAAGCCTGGCAATGATGGTGCTGACACATACCTTTTATCCTATCACTCTTGAGGCAGAGGCAGGTGGACTTCTGGGAGTTCGAGGACAATCTGGCAGCCTGGACTACAGAATGAATTCCAGGACAAAAACAAACAAAACAAAAAGAAAGAAAGAAAGAAAGAAAGAAAGAAAGAGAAAGAGAAAGAAAGAAAAGAAAAGGGAGGAAATAAGGATGGTAAATTGGTCACACACACATAATATTTGGTGGGTATAGGCAACTTAGCCTAAACAGTGATTTCAAGGCTAGCCTTGGCTATGGAGTAAAAGACCCCATCTCCAAAAATCTAAAAGAGAGGAGGAGAGATGATCCGGTGAGTAAAGGCAGTTTATTGCCAAGCCCAACAACCTGAATTTGATCTGTGAAACCCATATGGTAGAGAATCAACTTCTGAAGTCTGTCGTCTATACATATGTATGCCATGGCACACTCCAGCCTACACACATACACACAGGCAAACACAAATAAAAGTGAAATTCTCATGCTCCGGAGGCAGAGGCAGTTGGATCTACAGAACAAGTTCCAAGACAGCCAGGGCAACAGAGAAACCCTGTCTCAAAATAAATAAACAAAACATTCACACACTGAAAACAGCAACAACACAGAGAAAAGACAGGGCTAGTGATGACAGCTCACCAGGTAGAGGCACTTAACACCAAGCCTGACAATCTGAGTTTGATCCCTAGTACCTAAATGGTGGATAGGGACAATCAATCCCAAAAGCTATCTTCTGACCTGCACATATGCACACACACAACCGTATATAATTAAAAAGTCTTAGCTCAGTTGATTAAGTGCCTGTCTTACAAACACACGGATACAATTTTGATGCCCAGAACTGTCGCAAAAAAAAAAAAAAAAGTCAGGAGTGTAGCTGGCACTTCTAAACCACAACAATGGAGATATAGAAACACATGGGGCCCTGAGGCTTATTAGGCCAGCCCCATACCTACTTAGTGAGTTCCAAGCCAGTAAGAGACCTTGTCTCAAAAAAAAAAAAAAAAAAAAAAACAAACAAAAAAAAAAAACAGGACATAGAGCGAGGACTATACGAAAGCAGGCTGTGCAAGCCATGAGAGCAAACCAGTAAGCAGCATTCCTCCACAGCCTCTGCTTCAGAGCCTGCCTCCAGGTGCCTGCCTTGAGTTCCTGCCCTGTCTTGCTTCAGTCATGGAGTGTGACCTGACAGTTGTAAGCTAAAACAAACGCTTTCCTTTCCAAGTTGATTCTGGTCATAGTGTTTCAGCACAGCAACAGGGTCTTAAAGGCACTTGCTGCCAAGCCTGACAGCCCAAACTTCGTATCTGGAACCCCACACAGAGGAAGGAAAGAACTGGTTCCTACAAGCTATCTTTTGATCTCTACACTTGCACTGTGGAATGTGCGCGCGCACACACACACACACACACACACACACACACACACACACACACACAGAGAGAGAGAGAGAGAGAGATGCACACACACACAAATTTATTTAACAACATTTTGTTTTGTTTTTTGAATTTTTTTCCAGACAGGGTTTCTCTATGTAGCCCTGCTGTCCTGGAATTCACTCTGTAGCCAAGGCTGACCCGGAACTCAGAGACCCTCCTACCTCTGCCTCCCAAGTGTGTGTTAGCAAAGGCATGTTTCATCACTGCCCAGCCATAACTCTTCTTTTCTTTTTTTCTTTTTTTTTTTGGTTTTTGAGACAGGGTTTCTCTGTGTAGCTTTGGAGCCTATCCTGACACTCGCTCTGGAGACCAGGCTGGCCTCGAACTCACAGAGATCTGCCTGCCTCTGCCTCCCGAGCGCTAGGATTAAAGGCATGTGCCACCAATGCCTGGCTGATAACTCTTTACTTCTGAAAAGAAAAGGCTTCACTTTGTACCTCTCCAGCTGGGATAGAACTTTTTATGGAACCCTGGGTTCCATCCCAGGCACCTCAGAATATTGGACGTGGCAGTACCCCAAAACTCAGGAATTAGAGGAAGGAGGAAAAGTTCAAGGTCACTCTCATTTATATAGC